ATGCCCTTCACATTGATCTCTTGTATCTTGATGTTCCACACACAGTCCCACTTGATACAGTAAAAAAAAATAGTCAAATACTTAAATATAATACTTAAAAGAAAGAAAGAAAGAAAGAAAGAAAGAAAGGAAGAAAGAAAGAAAGAAAGGAAGAAAGAAGAGACAATTAAAGCATCTCTCTCTCACCCCTCAGGACCTTTGGTTCCCAATAATCCCCACTATCTTCAGCTGAAAACACTATGTTACCAGGGCAACAGCTGCATTGATGGTGTAGCTTCATGGAAGCGTGTGTGACAAAAGCGGTACCTGAAGCATCACACTTATAATTGCAATCAAGGCAGACCTGTGGCAGAGATGACTGGGGCTGAATTATTTCTGCGTCTCTAAGTGTGTGGTTTAAATTCCATACATGCACGACAGGAGACAAGAACTAGTGTGCAAGAAATTTATGTAGTCATGTAAATCTTTGCCCGTGTGCCTCCACTCCCTCTGCACACATTACACTTCACTGCAGTTTTTACCAAGCACCTTGATTCATGAAAAGTACACTTGCCGTCTTTGCCAATAACCTTTAAGCAATGTTTCTCAGCTTATCTGGATCATAACCAAAAATCAGGCTACTCAATGTCTTTGCTTTAAAAAGCCAAAAATACCTTTTAGTCGACTGCCAGCCTCAATCAAAAGCCCCGATTTAATACTTTAAATCCCTTCCACTGATAGATGATGAAATAAATGCATGACTTAGGTAATTTCTTAGCGGACACACGCATTTTTAAAGTTATAAAGAAAGAAAGTATCCTTCTTTAAACACCATTTCAGATCCTGAATGTCTATAACAATCGCTGACATTTTATGAGTATCTCAGGACCTGCAAAGACAGTCTGCCTCTCAGGAACAGGCGGTCCCAATATGAAGCTTTAGGCTCTTAGAAGATTCTGACATTTGAAAGATTTGACTGTCAATCTTAAAGGTCATTGACAGTGTGAAAGACGCGTGGGGTTTTGAAGAGTGGGTGAAAATAAGTCAGAGCAAGGTGACGCTATATGTTATACAACCTTCAGCTTCTTATGCATTCAAGTCCCTAAATGACAATTTTATTTCAGGGATTACAGCATACAGATTATATAGAGACTCCAAAGCTGAAGAACGTTTCATTTAACTGTAACCGTGTGCCTGACACAGACTTCATTTGGGTACACTGCTCAGATAAATTAAAGATCACTCATTTGAATGTTTTGTGTTTTTAGTATTTTCTCTGTCTTGTTGGCCGGGTTGCTGTTGCAGCTGTCCTGATATCATTCGAATATTTCCTCAGAGAAACATACTCCAACTTCAGCATCTTTGACTGCAGCTGGTGATAGCGATCCTCCACTCATAGTTGGAGAGCCACTTTAAGGCCAACCTGCAGCAGATGGGTGAACTGTGGCGAATATCATCACCAGCTGCAGTCAAACATGGTGGAGGTGGAGTCCATCCGCAAGATAAGAGACTCACTGGAGAGGCAGCTGATTATATTGATTTTGTTGTGCGTACATCTATATCCACCACCCCACCCCACCAGTACAAATCCATTCAGCTGGAAACACTGAAAAAAATAATGAATTCATTAAAGATAGAAGTGTACCGAATCCTGCAACATGCTGAATGTTCGTCTAAAGGTTATCTTAGCCTTTATGAAAAACGGCTCAATTGAAAGAAAAAGAAATCATCCAAAAAATAAAACATCATGTCTGACCTCTGATGATCTAACAAGAAAAGTTGGAATTGTTGTTGGCGCGTTGCGCAACTACAGTTCGGGCTCCTGCAGTCTTTTATCAAACAGCAGATGATAATTTGCTCTGCTCATAATGCACTTGTTGAAAATGCTTTATGCAGCCTTGGCAGGCGGTTCTCTACTTCCTAAATAAATGACTGGGATTTGCGTTCCACACATGATCATCCTCGTCAGGACTGTTCTGTCTCAGCCAAAAATACAGTAATAAAAGTCACCGCACTGGCGGAGGCTTTAACATAAACTACATTTAAAGGAGCAACTGCTCGCAGGGTGAAAATCAGTGACAATCATGGGAATTAGCATAAATCAGCGGGCGTCTGGTGGTAACGTTATTCCTGTGTGAACGGAGCTTCTGTGATTAATCGTCTCTCATGCACAGAAATGGGGAAATGATTGGATCTCACATTAAGGGAAAAAGACTAAGGCAAGTTCAATTCTTGGAAGCTCCAAGTATGCAGACAAAGAAAAAAAAAGTTAAGACAAAAGAAGTCAGCAGCTTCAACATACTGCATTTCTTGACTTCATCGAAAACAACAACATTAGGCTTTTCCTGGATGAGGAGAGCATCCAGAATCTGTGTGCTAACCCTGCTCTGCCTTCCCATGGTCCTGCTTTGCTCCACCTCTCATCATCACTGTCACTCTGTGGAGCCAAGCTGTAAAATTTCCCCTCAGAGCTTATTGGTCGTGACTGACACTGTCCTGGTCGAGGTTTCGGTGTATGTGGATGGCTCTGATGATTACCTCTTGTCAGCTGTTATCATTATCATCCTCTGAGCGTTGCATCATGCCTGACTCCTGTGCCCACTTGACCTGTGTGGTGGAACCTCAGAACACACTGCCATCTCAAAAACAAGACTAACTTGTACGGAAATTCAGTGAAGTGGAGGGTAACGCCATTATTTATGCAGGAATTATTTTCTTTCTGCTCACAAAATACAAACTCACAATTATATGTGTGTATATATATATATATATATATATATATACATACACACACATATAAACACTTATACTACTTTTCCCTGGGAGCCATTACCCCCATTTATTTTCTAATCACTCAAGATACTTTGCATTTTTACTGCATCACGTCTTACGGTGCCTCGAGTAACAATAATGCAAATCCCTGCAACAGTCTGCCTCTGTCTTTTATTTGCCTGCATCTGCACGCTGAATCCCAACAATAGCAATTACAAAACAGATTCTCTAATCACTTCAGATGCGACGGGTTCACACAAGTCTCACACAAGCACGGCACATCCATCTGTAGCTCTCGGATGAGACAGCACCTTCTCCTTCAAACAAAATCTGCTCTGGCTGACACATTCCCTGCTGGACAATAAATCTGAGTTTACTTCCTTTTTCACCACACACCCATGCACTGCGAAAAGGGTTCTGTGTGTGTGTGTGTGCGGAGACTCTCTCTCCGTATGTCTCAACAGATGAAGAAACTGGCTGAGAAAAGTCATTTACTTGTGGTCACACTCACGGGCGTCATCGCATTACGAGCCCTGTAGCGTGCAAGACTGAGAGCCGGATGACTGTGCATCACATCAAAACATGAGGTGTGGTAGGAAGAAAAAAAACATTCATGCATGATGTTGCAGAGGAGCAAACGCCTGAAAAAACGTGGCAACATCAGGGTGAGGGAGGGAAAGGATGAGCACCATTCAGTGCTGTGCTTGAGCGACGCCTCCCAGGTCTGGCAATTAAAACCAGCTCCTGGCCTCTGACACAGGCTGGATTCAAGCGTGGAAAAGATGAATGCAAGGATTCATGCAGGTGTACCACAGCTCTTCCTGACGTGTGTCTGCATATGGAGCCTGCTTGTTAACCTTTTCACCGTGACACTAAAAAAAAAAGACATGCAGGAGCAGATGTCTGAAAAGGTGCCACACTGTCTATTACAAAAAAGGAAAAGATCAGAACCAAAGGACTACCCTGTCAGGGACTCCATTCAGCACTCTGACAGCATGGATACCATTTGTTGTCACCCTTGTCTCAGGCAGCAAACAAACAGGAGATGCAAATTCTCTAATTGTGTCTTGTTTGTGTGTGTTGACCCAATTTCACATGATTTTAAAGAGGGGTTGGGATTGCTGGATTTACTTGTGCACTTGGGAAGCTCATGTCATTATTACATTTGCATCATTCCAGCTGGACATCGCTCAGCATGTGCGCCCACTGACACTCCATAAGCTAAACCACGCGTGGCTAACTGACAGAGAGGATGACGAAAGAGATAGTCGTGTTCCCTCTCGTGTTGCGCTACGGCAAAAGCACACAACTACGCCGAATTTAAATGATTAAGAGCAAGAAAATCGTTGAAATAAGAAATAAAAAACGCGCATGCACATGGAACTGTTTTTCCACTGTCGTCATCTCTTAATCTGCTTTTTTTTTGGTAAACTTGTCAGTCCCGGTGAATTAAAGAAAAAAAAAATACTGATATTAATAAAAGACAAACCGCAGTGGTGTTTATTTCACTGGCGGTGGAGTTGAGACCCTTCGCTTTAATGGAAGACGGTTTTTAATCCAAGGTTAAGTTAGCCTGTGCTCAACAGTCTTGTCACAGGTTGCGGTAGCTCGTTCCGAACACGATTCCCAGCACGCGGGGTCAAAGCACGAGCCCGGAGTTCCTGTGCAGGTGCGGCTTTTTTTTCCCCTTCTTTTTTAAAATCATTACCAGAAACGTCTCGCGCGTCTTCACCGCTAATTGCCCATTAAGGGAAAGTAACAGCCGCTCAAGCAGTAGTGTCGCATTGTGCTGCTATTTTGACTGTCCTTAGAAGTCGACCTAAGCTTTTAAATAAACAAACAAATAAATAAAATTCAACCACCCCTGTGACAGGTGTATCTCCACAAAAACAACCCCCTCACATTTGTTGCTTACTACTTTAATTCGCGGGCGAAATCGTCGCGGTTGAGCAGAGCCAGAGCTAGTCGCATGCAAGCCGCGCATCCCCCTCACCGTGCATCCTTTCCACTTCAGCATGCGAGGGGAGACCTGTTAAACCATCAATTATACTGCGGTAGCTACACAAACAGCAGTTGTTGCATGTGAATGAAACATTGCCGCTGAGCCCATTTGCAACCGTCTCCGGCAATTATCCTGCCGGCGACGTGTGCGAGATCTTAACAAGAAGAAGAAGAAGGAAAAAAAATCGCATCACAGAAGACACAGCAGAGGTAATGACTAATAATAAGAAAAATAACAACAGTCTCACCAGCAGCAATGAGGATGATGTTCCTGCTGTTGTGTGTGTGTGTCTTCTCTCTCTCTCACTCCTGGCTTTCCTTGGAGTTGATGAGGTTCTGCCGTTTGGTCCGACTGATTTCTCCCTCAGCTGTTACCGGCCACTGGATTTGGATAATTTTTCTCTTTCTTTCTTTTTTTTAATCCAGCGGTGAAATAACGGGGGGAAGCGGCGTCCTCTCGCAGAGCTCTGCCCTCTTCAAACTAACCTTCCCGCCCCCTCCTTCTGCCCATCTCAGATTGGCGCTGGGCGGGAGGGGCAAACCTTGAACCCGGGGGCTGGTTTAGGAGGGGTGATCTGTCGCGCTGATCAAATCCCGCGTGGATGTTTGCGGGAGGGCTCACTGTTAACTGATCAGCTCGTCACTGATGTTCCCGACAGCTGGAAGGGGGCTCTCCCCCCCAGCCCCCCAAAACACACACCGCCCCCCACCGCTCCTCTTGTGCAGTTATTGCACAGCAACCTCCCAGGCGAGAGGCAGCAGTGAGTGGGCCCACTTACTCCGGCGGATTGAGCACTGACGCAGGTGCCCAAGGTCCAACCGCGACAGACAAGAGATGCCAAGCCTAAGAGCTGCTGCTGACAGTGATACAGCAATCTCATCTGAGTCATTGCAGTGGTAGGAAATGGGAGCAGATCATCCCCACTCTGTGACCTTGGAGGGGGGATGTTGTGGTCTGATCAAGGAGTAGAGATGGGAAAAATCTGGGCAAGGCAGTAGGAACACAAGACGTCTCAACCTCTGTTTGAACAAGGTGCCCTTTTTGCATGGCGCGTAATGCCACCTCTAACCTCTGCTCAGTCAGCAGCAAATAGTACAAGACTGCTCTTGTACTCTGCAACTCCTGGGTGTGCCGTGCCATACACAAATCTGTCAAGAACAGACAAAACTGCTGCAAGTGACCTGCCAGTGAAGCCTGCATTTTAAGTCTGCAGGCGATATAAGAACCTTTTTTTTCACAGTTCACAGTACAAATCCGCACACTTCTGTATTTCTGTCAATAAAAAAGACCACAAATTGTGCCTCCTGTCAGTCTTCATCTACTATCTGTTGCTTACATCAACAGTGCAAAATGGAAACAGTGCAACACCAAGTCAGCAAATTGTTATTATTATTATTTTTTAAACGAAATACACTACACAAACTTTCACTACATCCACCACTGCTTTCCTGGAAAGAGGGGAATTCCTCGCTGTGTGGTCCAGCCTAAGGCATCTCGCATCTTGTCCCTAATTAGGTTTCGTTGAAAGGCTTTTCTCCCCGCTCTCACTGGGGGTCTAAGGTTGGGGTGGTGTGCCTTTTTCATTTATCATTTTCATTTATTGTTTCATTGTGAAGCCCTTCGAGACTGTAATTGTAATTAGAGGCTGTAATAAACTTGATTTGCTGGGAGCTGCTGTGGGCGAGGGGAAGGAGAAAGAGAGAGAGGTGCTGGCCAGTTCTTCAAAGGAGCATGTGAGCTGAGGAGAGAGAGCGCTGGTACAGGATCCAGGCTGCTTCTCAGCCACGCATCCCAGAGCTATAACGTTCCCCACTCGGGTGTCTACATCACGGACGCCACAAGCCGCGGAAGCTTGTTTGTTTGTTTTATGTGCGCGTAAAAGTCGACGCCTCGCATAAAAGGGGACCAGCCGAGAACATTTCACATCTGCTTCACTTCTTTCCCACAGCGATAAAATGAATTGAGCACAATGTGCCATTTCCATGCTTTCTGCAGTCACCAAGTGCTTTATAGTTCGCTTTATTTCCCTCCCCCCAAAAATTCCTTGAGCCGGCATAATCATGTCCTCCAGCTAATAATTATAAACTCTGGAAAGACCGACACTGAGGTGTGTGTGTGCGTCTGGGCTGCTTTTCTTAATTAGTCGGACAAAGATGAATCAGCCTTTTTTTCTTTTTTTTTTTTAGGGGGGGGGGGGGTATGCAAAAATAGGACCACAGTGTATTTAAAAATAGATTTGACATGTTTTGTGTCATTTAAAGAGGAGTCACTGTCCATAGTTTAGTCGCAATTTAGTAACTCTCATTGCTTGATAACAACAGCTTCTGGGGTCACCCTGAATGAGGCACTTGTGCCTCAAGAGGTGCTGCCGGCCTAAAAGTCTGCTCTCAGCATCCCATGTGAAGGATGTGAATGTACATAGCCAATATGAATATGTTGTTAAGCTGTCTCATTGTTACATCCAACCCTTTGCCCCCCCCCAGCACCTAATGAGTGTGACCTTTTAGACATTTCGTATTCTCGAATATGAGTCTCCATGCTGTGTTTTTTCTACAATAATGATCTCATACTGAAAATTCAGGCAAAGGTGGCTCACTTTCCATTACGCCGTGTGGATGTGTGTGTATATGTAGCCAGGTCTGAGCCACAGGTGCACAGGTTTTCAGAGGCTCCGGTAAACAAGTGATTTGTGGAACCTGATGGCTTTGCTGTCATGAAGATGGAGCAGGGTGTTGTGTTCTTGCAGATGTGTGCATTGCCCTGTCAGATTAGATCATCACTGTAACTAACCAAGTGCGGAGCCCCCTTGTGGCATCCTTGAGCAGCTGCTTAAGTAAATGAACACTCCATTCCATCACCATTCATAAAGCAGGAGCGTGTGCGTGGTGCGTTAAATGTGAGGAAGCGGGGTATTTAGAGATGAAACCTTCCGCGAGTTTGGGCAGGAAACAGAACGCATCGACTTGCCATCAGCTGATCCTTATTAGCGTTAATTACCTTCACCATTTAGTGCCAAGCATTTCATTGAAGCTGTCAGCGCTTCATTTAAGGCTCACCCCGTCTTGCGGCGGTTCTACAACACCGCCCGGCCACTTCCTGTTCTATCTCCTCTGTCAGTAATCAAATACAGTAGCTTGTGGTGTGTTTCTGCAGACCTGTCTCCTATGACGATGACATTTGCAGGCATCTCATGGCACCCTGGTCGTTTTCATCTTGAACTGTGTGTTATTCTCATGGGAGGAAAAAAAAAACCCCAATGGAAAGCAGAATCTATATAAATGGACATTTGACACAAAACACCACATCCAACTGCTGCATGATGCCTCAGCTGGAGTGACTGTTTACTGAGGAAGTGCTGGCATCATCGCCTCGAAATCAAGCCACACAAATCATTGTCAGCCCTGCAATTAACTGAAAGATATTGCTGCTTCATTAATATGTCCTCACATCATCCATCAGTCTATTTACTTTCAGCAGCTTTGCTTATCTCCAGCAAGAAACAGCTTTTTTGGTGTGTTTGTGTGTGTTTACGCGTGTGTGTGTGTTTGTTTTGTCAGAGCGCTGGGGTGGAAACATTCAGTGTGTGTGGTGTGTGGGGGTGGGGGGGAAGGGGGGGTCAAGAGGTCCTCCCCCAGGACAATTTGAGCATCAGACTTTTCATTACCTACATTCTGGTGAATTTCTATGCACCATTCTGTACCCTTTCTGCTCTTTCTGTTTATGGTAGAAATGTCCGGAAGTCTCTTGGCCATTCTGTGTCGTTTTCAAATAGTTATCATCGACTTTTCTCGTGGAAAACCTCTCAACACACTTATAGACACATGCTTAGCTCTTCCACCCTGTTTGCAAGACTCCAGATGTGACAGAGAGCACAAGGAGTCGACAGTTTTGTCGGATATTAGGCTCCGTTTGCTTTGGGGAAGTAACCTGCTTAAATCTGCATGAGTCACCAGTTCACATCAATGATAAGTTAATTTATTTTAATTTATTTTAATTTATAAAGCCACAATATCAGACCTCCTACTCCTACTCCTTTTCTTTATGGCCCCACTACGATTATAAAGCTGTCTGCCCTGCTCTCCAGAGCAGAGTGAGAAGACACTGTGTTGCTGCTGCTGCTGCTGGAGATCAGAGCACTGCGTGTGCATGCGGTGAGGATAATTAAGTTTACCACCAAACATTCAGTGGTGGTATGAACTGATTTTCTAGTTGTATTTTGGGAGTGAAAAACAGACCCACTGTTAAAGAAGAAAAAAGGCACTCAAATGCAACGGAAGCAACGGAAGCCCAAATGGCCAGCTGCCCATCTACAATTCCAGTTTCCACCTACTTTCTTTCCCTTACACTATGCTATAAAACTGTTGCATGGCTTCCCATTAGGCCTCATTGATAGGGCCTGTTTGCTGTGTGAGTAATTTTTTTTTTCTGTGCCCACATTCGTTTTGCAGTTTCATTTAGTTAGTGACTTTGCTGGGGTGAGATTTAAATGTATAATGAGGCCATGACTACCACTTGCACAAATAAAAGACTCGGCAGCAATCTGAATTCAGACCATTTAGCTCAAAATAATCCCAGATGGGACTCTGGCATTTTCTACACAAGATGTGTAGCTGCTCTGAGGACAAGAGGTGCTTAGAGCCAAATGCACTACAGCAATGCTTCTCAATCCGGTGCCTGGCGCTTGGGCTACAGGCTGCTTTTCTATTCCATCAACTCCTTAATTGAAGCTCATCGCATTTTTCTTAGTATTCTGGTCCTTAATCAGTCCTTGATTAGATGGCTGAAAAGAAGGCCAAGAACTTATTTAAATAGAAGCCCGTGCGCAGTCGTCCCCAGATGTATATGTAAAACAGGTCTCGTGAGACTACATAAGTATTGCTTGTCCCAGAAGTGTGTTGAAGCCTATTTGATTGTTGAGCACAGAACAGAAGTTTATATTTGGTCTCAAAAACAGTCCTCCAGAGACCGCACAGTTGAGCTATTGGATCTGACTGACTTGAGTTCCCAGTAGTGAATCTGTGCTCTTTATTTTACAAAGAATTGTTCTAACTTGCCATGATACAGCAAGGCTTAACTGATACATACACAGATACAGTAAGTATTTTTATATTTATGTACAAATGTACTGTTTATTAGATGAGAAGTTATTATTACGACCCAGGCTCAAAAGCTGCAACATAAGGCAGACTAAAGACTCACACAACAGTTTGTAGAAACATTGGTTTTATTATATATTACTTAGTAATCTAACACCCCCCACCCACCTAAAATCTTCATCCTCACCTCTTCAGTTATAAACAATCAACAGCTAAGCCTTAGCAACACTCAGAGTCTCTTACGCTGTTGCTGCAAGGCATGCAAGGGAGGCAGAATGAGTGTGACAGCGTGACCAGCCTATGTCAAAAAAGCTGTGGTAAGCAAAATTAATATAGAGAGTCTGTGAACTGTGTCATCCTCATATCTACCAGAACACTTATGCATTTCTTCTGCATTTGGAATAACTAGAAGCGTCTAGCTGAAGCTTCAAAAAACGTAGCCTCTCCAAGGCTGTCTGAGCTGCTGCAGGGAACGCTCCGACACTGTGAGAAGGGTCTGGATGTTCACTGCTGCATGTGGCAAAAGGAGGAAACTAATGTTCAAGTGGCTGAGCGAACTTACATCTCAGAC